CGATATAGAGTGCAGCGCGGATGCCGGAGTCCAGCTCCGCCGCCGCACCATGTCCTGTCTCTCCTGCCTCAACACCCCTGCGGGTCCGCGCCTTCACATGCGCCTCCGCATGCGGGCCCCGGCCCGGCCGCTGCTGCATCACGGCCGCCCCCTACCGCGGCATCTCCTGCTACCGCGGCCTCACCGGGGGCTTCGGCAGCAGCAGCGTCTGCGGGGGCTTCCGCGCCGGCTCCTGCGGTCGCAGCTTCGGGTATCGCTCAGGCGGCGTGTGTGGACCCAGCCCTCCCAGCATCACCACCGTGTCTGTCAACGAGAGCCTCCTGGCGCCCCTCAACCTGGAGGTTGACTCCACCGCGCAGTGCGTGAAGCAGGAGGAGAAGGAGCAGATCAAGAGCCTCAACAGCAAGTTTGCTGCCTTCATTGACAAGGTGGGTGTCCTTGATCACACCCTTCCTGAACCTTCCCTTCCTGGGTGGGCACTAAAACAGGAGTCAGGGGCAGGAGAGATGTGGTTTTGGTGAGCTCCCAGTCTGATGGAGATGGACATACATCCAGGACACAGACAGACACAGAGAGATGAATAGAAAGGAGGGGATCCCATTTAGAACGCTGTTATTATATACAGCCTCTGTCCAGACAGACAGAATCCCCACAGACAAGATGCATGTCCTTGATCCTACCCTTCCTGAGCCTGGAAGTTCTGGAAGGACCTGAGAATTTCCAGGCCAGTCTCTCCTAGAAATGGGGAATGGAGACTGCTGCTATTTTATGTGATATTTTTAGGTGGTCCATTAAAGCATTAAATAACATTGAAACACCTGATGAGAAAATTTATCTCTTTTCATGTTTGTTTCAGTCCTTGAGATGAAATGGAGAAAATCTCATTGGATGCTAATATGTCTTTAATATCTCTCTAACACTTACTCCTTTCCCACTTCTAATAAAAGGCAGCAGGCCTCAGCTTCAGTGCTGTCTGGGACAAAAGTTTCAGCTAGAATTTAATGCCTTCTGATTTCCCCTTATGTATGCCTAGTGATATTGGTCTTACAAAGATGGTGGTAATACAGTTACCCCTTTAACCCCATTGAAATGTAAATGTTAAACAGATTCATTTATAGATCGATCATGAGTAAAATAGTACGAGGGGACTGCAAAATCCTGAAGTCAGCCTGTGAAGGGTTCATACCGGAGAATCACTGCCACCAGTGCAGCCCTCTCAGCGCACACAGAAGGGAAAAGAGGGAAGGATATAGGGCAGGGTCTGCCCAAGAGCCACTGAGAGTGGGTGGCAGAGTAGAACTCCAAGCCCGGGCTCTCCTCTGCTCTCCAGGTCCCTGGGGCTAGAGGATCCCAAGCTTGGTCCCCTCCAGCAGGAGTCAGTCCTCCTCAGCAGACACTGCGCCCGGAGTGTTTTAGCGCGCCCATCCAGAAACGGTGGCCAGAGGGTGAAGTGGAAAGGGTCCTGGCCCACAAGCAGGCTTGGGCTCCATGTTCAGTTTCTCCACTGATTCTCTGTGTGCCGCTGGCCAGTGGCTTCTCCTCTCAGACCCAGAGCTCTCCACTCCAGAGCTGTGCGTGACGCAGAGTCTGAGCCGTGACTGTGAAAGGAAAGATGGGGACAAAGCAATGAGACGCCCCACCACAGCTCAAGCCTTGTCAGCTAAGATACCTAAAGTGATCCCTTGTAATATCAGCCGTCCCCATTCCCCATTTCCAGAAGTTCCAACTGGGGATTTCCCAGCTGCACTCACTGAGTTGGATGAAAGGATACGAAGGCTAAAAGGCAAGGGACTGTCTCAACTCCAGCTAAAAAATCTGCAAAGAGGAAAACCAGAAGCCAGGGTTCCTCCACTTGGCGTCTTGTTTGCCGGTGTCCTCTCTGGCTCCGCAGTGACTGGTGCCGTCCCATCTCTCCAGCCTGAATGACTTGCAGTGAAGTCTTGCATGCTTTGCTTCCCTGCAGTCCCCACCCTCCCTATTTTCCAAAACCTTCCCTTGTTCATATTACCTGCCTGGCCTCCAGACACATCTGAGTGTCCAACATAGGACTTTAGCCCACCTGAGACCCCAGCCATCCTGCTTGGTGGAGATTACGTTCCCTGCTGGGAAGCCCCTCCCACCTTGACCATCCATTCAGACAACTGTTCAGCAAGCCCTCAGCTGTCCACAAAGGACAGAATCTCACTCAGGCCTGAACAAGCAGTCATGAAACAAAGATTCTCTGGGTTCCTCCTCAGGCCACGAGAGCCCAGCTGAGGCCATTCCATCCAGCCCTCGATTCTGCGTGGCTCACTGATAATTCCATCTCACTCTGCCTGCTCTCTGCAGAGGGCTGGGGATATTGGCTCCTCCCATTGAGTCTCTCCCACCCTGGGTGGCAGGTGCACTTCCTGGAGCAGCAGAACAAACTTCTGGAGACCAAGCTGCAGTTCTACCAGAACCAAGAATGCCGCGAGAACAACCTGGAGCCACTGTTCGAGGGCTACATCCAGACACTGAGGCGGGAGACTGAGCGCATGGAGACTGACAGCGGGAGGCTGGCCTCGGAGCTCAACCACATGCAGGAGGTGCTGGAGGGCTACAAGAATAAGTGAGTGAGTGCCTTGGGGAGGAGGGTATGGAGAAAGGAAATGAGATGAAGTCAAAGCAGGATAGATTTGAGTTAGACCACAAGAAGAACTTTCCTACAAAAATGTGCAAGGCACCCACCCCAGCCCATATCAGGAATGAGATTCTCTGAAATGGGAAGAGTTGTGTGTGATGTGGTTGGTTTGAGTGCCCAGACGAAAGGGATGTACACTTTTTGATTCTATGACCACCTCCAAAAGATCCATTTTCTGGAATGTGTTTGTCTGGGCCTTCATTCTCTTCTTTTCTCTTCAAATCCCAGCCTACTGAAGCTCTAACCACTGAAACTTATACCCTTTGTGTCCCCAGGTATGAGGAGGAGGTGACACTAAGGATCACCACTGAGAATAAATTTGGGGCCCTGAAGAAGGTGAGTGATCCCAGATTACTCATCCCACAGCTCAGAACCAAGGACAGAGGCAGGAGGGAGCTCTCTGTAATTCAGAAAGGCTGAGCGACTCCTCCAGAATCACCCTGCCCAACCTGTCCCTGTTTCTCCCCCAAATATCCCAATGCTCCCTGGGCGGTCCTGGACATCAAAGTACACTGCCTGCTCCAAGCAGGGCAACCTTCCCCCATCCAAGGTAATTCCCATCTGGCAATGGCTTCTCACCTCCTACTGCCCTGTGCCTGGCAGAGAATAGGCACCCCATACATTCTTGTGAATGAAAGAGCACATGAATGCTAGGGTATAGCTCCATTCTCAGGCTGGCAACAGTTGGGAAATGCTGGCGTGAACAGTGCCGGTGTTCCTCACCTCTTAATCTTGACTCAGCACCAGTGCCATTCTATGGACTCTCATCAGGTCCTTCCAGCCACCTCCATGTGAGGAAGGCAAGGATTACTGGGAGGAAACTGAGACACAGAGATCAAGGGTCTCTCCCTGCGTCACGCTGGCTTGGGGGCAGATCTCTAGATTTCTTTCCATAAGATTCCAGAGCAGAGAGGGGTGGGGCATCATTAGAACTGAGCCATTTTATACCCAATCCTAAGTTTCATGATAGTGCAAGATGTGGTTTCTAGTGGGACCATCCCAGTGGGTACCAGAGGAAGTGCCTAGAAACCTTGGGACCCCCTCCTTTACCCAGACCTGCTCCTGACACCTTCAACTGCATAGAGGACTTCACCAAACCCCTAGACACCAAGCTCTAGGATGAACAGCTAAGGAGGGTCCGGGGAGTGTGCCCAGCCTATGGGGTGCCCCTCCCTGGTGGGGAGAGCTCTATGTTGTCTCCCCAGTGAGACCCCTGTGCTGCTCTCTCCCTTTAGGAGGTGGACTGTGCCTACCTCCACAAGTCGGACATGGAAGCCAACTTGGAGGCCCTCATCCAAGAGATAGATTTCCTGAAGCAGCTGTATCAGGAGGTGAGAAGTCACAGAGCAGCGGCACACTGGAAAGGACTTGCCACCATTTGGCTTCTGGGTAGGGGGGTGCAGAGCAGAGTTGAGGGACCCAAGGCAGGTTTACTGTCAGAAGGTGAAGAACAATAGTTTCGTGTGTCATCGGCCAAGCCCACACAAGCTGCGTTCCTGGTTACTGTGGTGGCAATTATCACACATTGTAAATTCTGGTCCTAGACCTAAAGGATGGAGGCAGGAGGCCATGACTGAAATCAGGCAGTGGGCCTCAGACCTGGGCTCCTCTCAGCCTTGGGATTCTGGGCCTGAGGAGCACTGAGAGGTTCCAGGGTTGAGGTGGGGAGACCGCCTTGGAGATGAAGCTTCAGAGACTGTGAAGGAAGCAGGGGCAGGGGATAGGGAAGGACTGGGAGAGGGTGGGCTGCCGGGAGTGGGGTCCTGGTCCAAGAAGCTCTTATCACTCCCCCATACCCCACCCCCAGGAGCTTCAGGTCCTCCAAGCCCACATCTCAGACACTTCAGTCACTGTCAAGATGGACAACAGCCGGAATCTGAACATGGACAGCATTGTGGCCGAGATCAAGGCTCAGTACGACGACATTGCCAGCCGTGGCCGGGCTGAGGCCGAGTCCTGGTACCGCAGCAAGGTGAGTGGCCCAGCGTCCCCTTCTCAGAACCCCAGCAGGGCGGATGCATAAAGACTTCAGCCTTTGTCTAGGTGGGATGGGCAAGGGAAGGGCAGGCAGCTCTCAGGATGCAGTGGCAGATGTGCAGATGTGCAGATGTGGGGTTCAGTGGGATGACATATCCTGAGCGCCATGAGCCTCTCTGCTTCCCCCCTCAGTGTGAGGAGATGAAGGCCACAGTGGCCCGGCCCGGCACGGCGAGACCCTGCGCCGCACCAAGGAGGAGATCAACGAGCTGAGCCGCATGATCCAGAGGCTGATGGCCGAGGTGGAGAACCCCAAGTGCCAGGTACAGGCGCCTGGCGCACCCCTCAGTGTAGAAAGAGAACAGAGCTAACCTGCAGCTGAGGGATTTTAAGTCAGACCCCTTGCCAAAGTGTGGGGAAAGGAGCAACATCAAACTTTCGGCAAGTCCCCTCCATGGAAACACAATCCGTTCCCACTGAATGTGGGGTGGAGTGGGGAGAGGTATTGGAGGGGGATGGAATGACCGGGGCTTTCATGGTCTTAGGGGCAGAATGGGGCAGAGGAAACAGCACTGGTCTGCGGGACAGGAAACCTGGGGTCTCAAACCAGCCCTGCCACTAGCTCACCATGTGATTTGGGGGAAGCCATTTCACCTCTCTGGCCCATTGTTCTAGATCGGTGATCACACACTCAGAGGTCCCCAGAGGTTGTGAGTGAAGCAGGCTGTATTGGAGGCACTAGGGTGTGGTAAACTGGAAAACACTAAGGGCAAAGCTGATCAGAGACAACTGAGGCAGTTCCTACGGTCCAGTGTGGCCAGGTCCTCTGATTTTTCAAGAGAAGCCAGGAATCTGGATTTTAATATTGAAGTTCAAAAATTAAAGACACTGCCAACATTCCCAAGGAATGCTAATTTGCAACCTCTGACCTAACAAATGAGTAAGGCCCCGCCTTCCTCTGACAGTCAGTGGTCAGTGGGTACCTGGCCTCTGACCTTGAATGCAGAACAGGGAACCTCAATAACCCTCCCCTGCTACCAGAACTCCAAGCTGGAGGCAGCAGTGACCCAGGCTGAGCAGCAGGGCGAGGAGGCCCTGAATGATGCCTGCTGCAAACTGGCGGGGCTGGAGGAAGCCCTGCAGAAGGCCAAGCAGGACATGGCCTGCCTGCTCAGGGAGTACCAGGAGGTGATGAACTCCAAGCTGGGCCTGGACATCGAGATCGCCACCTACCAGCGCCTGCTGGAGGGCGAGGAGCAGAGGTGAGAATCACACCTGGGGGAGGGTATCTCTTCATCCTCCAAACTGTTCTTAGAGTCAGGAGCATGTTTGCATGTTATTTGCATCTAATTTGCATCAACATTACTTGAAGGAGGAAATTTGCAGGTTCTGCTCCCCTCAACTAATTTTTGTCTCTTTGCTCTCCCAACAAGGTTATATGAGGGTATTGGTGCTCTAAATGTCTGTAAGTAATCTATACTGTGGGTTCTGAAATAGGGGGTCAGGTTTCCTGATGAACAAACGTTTTCTTAAAGGGCCAGATAGTAAATACTTTAGGCTTGTGGGTCAGGCAGTGTCTGCTCAACTGCTCAACTTGTCCTTGTAATGTGAAAGCAGCCACCACCAAGCAATACTTAACAAATAGATGTGGCTGGGTTCTAATAAAACTTTATTTGCAAAAGCAGGAAGCCAGTGCTGGCCACATTTAAGATCCTGAAAGGAAGGAGGGAGATGTGGCAGTGAATGATTATGAGAACTTAAATAGCTATTACTGCCTAAATGGAGGGCCTGGGCTAACAACTTTCTCAAGGATGTTGAGGTTAGACTGCAGGAAGGTCTGCCCAGATGTGAGGGTGTATGAGGGGGAAGGGAGAATAGAAACAGAGGGAAGGAGCTCTGAACAAGGGAAGGCGGGGGTACTCTGGACAGCAGGCAAGGGGCTGCTGCTGGCGCCCACCTCCCTCGGGTACTAATTCCTGTCCTCCCCAACAGGTGTCGGCAGCTCCCGGGGAGGGGTCATCTGCGGGGACCTCTGGGTGTCCGGCGCCCGGCCGGTGACGGGCAGCGTCTGCAGCGCCCCCTGCACCGGGAACGTGGCGGTGCGCACCGGCCTGTGCGCGCCCTGCGGCCGGAGCAGCGGCGGCGGCCGCCTGCTGCGGTTTGTGTAGCTCCTCCCACTTTGTACAGACACGGCTCCGCGAGCCAAGCGTCCCTGCCTTCAGCGGCGGGTCCCGGAGATCCTAAAGCCCCTGCACTTGCTGGGCAGAAGGGCCTCGGGAACCAGCCGGCATGATCAGCCCCAACTGCTGCCTTCTTTACCTGCATCTCTCTCCTGCTTCCTCTCTTCATTTCTTCCAGGGAGGGCCGGGCGCCTTGCCGGCAGGTCTGGCATCTCCCCTCCATCCCCAGAGTCTAAATGACTGGTTTCCTCCAGCCCTAGGCAAATCCTGACTCTGGCTGCTCTAGGGGCTTGGATGCCTGTGGCTTCTAAGGGACAGATTGGTCGCAGAGCCCCTCTGATGTGGAGCTGCTGCCCCCTCCCCAGCCTTCTAAACTCTCCCGTGGTGACTGAGGTTGTGTCTCCCAGGAGACAACATTAGCTGCTGCCTGGCTCTCTCTCCCTCTCTCAGCCGAGGTCTCCAAGTTTCCAATAAAGCTCCTGGGTCATTTATAATGTGCTCCAAGAATCTCCCTACACACATTTCTGCCTACACATGTGACCTTCCGGCTCAGTTTTCGCCCCTCTCTGAGGCAACAGAGGAGATGTTCTCAGCAAAGAGGGACAGCGGACTGAGGGACAGTGTCTCTAAGGCACCACCCCCTGGTGCCACACTGAATGGTGCAGGGGGACATGGACCCACAGCCCCCAAAACCCAGACACAACAGAAGCACGAGGAGGAGCTAGAAGGGAAGTGAGAAAGGCCACAGGGAGGAGCCTGAGCCAGAAGGGGAAGGGCCTGGCTTTCCTGACATCTCTGGTGTGGACCTCATCACTTGCAGCCGCTGGGACTCCAGTGGTCCACTTCCTCCACTCCCCCACTCCACCCCCACCTCAACATATGAAAAGTTCTGACTGTGAGATCAAATACGCAGACTTCACCTCCCCCTAGAAACCTGCACTCCTGAGATAGTACCCCCAACCCCCCACACACACACCACCACCATCACCCCCAGGGGGTCCCAGACATAGAGACCTCCTACCTCTCCCCCAGTGCCCATCATATGTGCTGCTGTCTGTCGGGGATGCAGATGACCAAGCACAGACCCCAAAACACTGCACATACTCACAGACAACAGACCCCCCTTAGAGACCCTGACATATATAGATGCCCCATTAAGCACACACAATACACAAATACCCTCCTCTCCTCCCACCCCCAGGGGTTGATTCACAGCCCATCCCTCAGCCCACGACCTAGGCCCAGGGCCCCCTACCAGGCATCTAGACTCTGGGACCCCTCCTCCACCCCGCACCCCTCCCAAACACACACAGACCTTCTCCCAACACTATCACCCCCACTGAATCCCAGGCCCCCGGAGCCCCCTCCAGGACCCCAGACACACACCCCATCGTGGGCCCCAGGGACTGGCAGATCCAGCACCAGGAAGGGCTGAGGGTGGCTGATCTGCCAGCTGGCTGGTCCACGCAAGACCCAGGCCTGGACGGCTGAGTATTTGCAGCCTTCTCACCACTAAGGAGCGTTCTCTGACAGCACAGGGTATTGGGAGTGGGGGTGCAAACAGCCCTCCCACCCCCTCCACAGGGGAGGACTCCAGTGCCCACTTCCTGGCAGAGCCAGCACTTCTGGGGTCTCTGGGCTTCTTCAGGAAAGAGCTGAATCAGCCCTGGCCCTGGGTGGGGGCCAAGGCCTCTCTCTGGATAAAAACCAAGCTCCTCAGGGCAGCTCCCCCATGTCACCCATGTGCTCGCCCAGTAATTAGGACAGACGATGTGCTCCCTAGAGCCCCTCCCTCCCCACCACTTTCCCTGCCCAGCCTAATGAAGCCAGGATACCAGGGGCTGAGCTGGGGCTGGCCCAGGCCTCAGAAAGAGGCTACTTTATTGGAAGCTAATCTGACATCATTTTTCAGACTGCCTTGCAGTCTTGGGACCAGGGATGGGACTTGTCTTGTAACTATGGGGTCAGGGTAAGGGTCTCCCACACCCGGGGCTCAGTTGAGGGTGCTCCTGCCAGTAGCAGATGTGGTCCTAATGGAGTAGGTCTTGAGGGCCCCGGGCCCTCCGCCACTGGAGAATCTCAGGGCATTGCTGCCCATGGTTCCTCCGAAGGTCAGCCGACTGCCAGCACCGCCAGTGGAATTCACCACAGCTGAGTGAGAAGGGAGGAGGTCTCCATCAGAGTGAGGCCCACCACCCGAGGCCCCACCCTCCTGCCGCAGCTGCCCATCTCCCTCCCCCCACCCACCTCCCCTTCCCACAACAGCCAGGGCCAGCCCAGAAGGAGCCTCCAACAGTGGTGAACCTCTGGTCCACGCTGCCCCCAGCCCCACCCTGCCCTCTTGCACGGCTCCCCTGGGCTGTTGAGCCTGCCTGGCTGGATGGGAGCATAAGGGTCCCTACTGAAAACTGTCAAAGGGAAGGAGGCTCCCGGCTGCCACAAGGCCAGGCCCTCAGGCCAATGTGCCATCCTACAGACCCAGCCTAGTCTGCACAGCAGAGGGGACGGGCCCACAGCCAAGAACTTACAGATGTTCACGGCTCCCACTCCATCTCCGGTCAACCTGGGGGCAGAGGAAAGACCTGTGAGGGCCTCAGCACTGGAAGAAGAACTCCCACACCCCTCTGTCCAGGCCTCAGGCAGGACTGATGCTCCTTTGCTTTGTCCCCACATGCCCAGCCTTCCTTCAGCCTTGTTACAAAATGAGTGAGGAGTAGGGATGGGGGTTCACTTCAGCCCTCCTGACTACTGGCTACATGACCTGGGGAGTGTCTCGGAGCCTCCATTTCCTCACCTAACTCAGTACCAACCTCACAGGGTTGTTTGTTACTTATAACATAACTTACCTAAAACCCTGGCACTCAGGAGTTGGTCAACAGCAGCCACCTTCATTGTTTATGTGGATGGCTGCCTCCCCTGATTGGACCATAAAATCCTCAAAGTAGGCTGTAGCTTATTGAATCCTGCATCTCCAGTCCCTAGCATGAGATCTGGCACACGGTAATCACTTAATGTGTGTTGAAATAATTAGTGAATTGTTGATTGAGTGAATTCAGCTCCAGCCTGGACTGAGGAGAGAGGGGGAGGGAGGTGGAGTGGCTTTCAGCAGCCTGTGGGGCTGAAACAAGTCTTGTACTGGAAATTAAAAATCCACCCCAGACAGCTGGATACATTTGCTTTTTGACTCACAGCCCCATTGACACCAAGCCCTCGGCCTTCCAGATGCATTTACTCTGCAGAGGGGTAAAGGAGGTCTCCATTTAGTGGAGGGAGGGAGGGAAGTCCATTTATCTCCAGCAGCCCCAAGTCCAGGAAGGGGGCGGAGCAAAACTAAGGGCAAGAGATGGGGATGCTAGGAAGCTTCCAGGCCCCTTGTCTATTGACCAAATGAGTCAACCAATCAATCACAGTAAGTATGAAGGCCCAAGTTCAGAGGTTCCGCGGCTCTCATGAAAAACTTCCTGTAAGACTAGCCCAGTCCAGCCTTGTCTCAGGCTTCAGGTGAGTATGCAGATCTCTCTAGGGACAGGGGAAATTCACCTCTCCACCAGGATCGGGCAATACCATGGGACTTAGCACTCAGTTATGTAGTGAGACACTGACGCCACTAGAACCAGGAATCAGCAGAGCTTGACTGCACACTGGCCCTGTCCCCTCAATTGATAAAACTAACCAGTTTTCCTTCTGTAAACTAGGGACTCAGTAATACCTGACTTGCTCACCTATTCAGGTGTTCTGAGGCTCAGATAAGATGACCCTGCTAATGGCCACACACACCAAAAGCGCTGTTATCCCCTCAACTTTCCCACCCACTAAGCTTTACACCATATGGTCTTTCCATCTAAAAAGTCATCTCATCCAGGGCAATAAGCAAGCATCATCTGTACCCTCCCTACACCTCCCACTCCCAGTGCCCTGCCGAAGAGTGTACGCAGGAAATGCTTGCAGGTGGAGGGATGTTAAGCCCCAGGCCCTACTGAGCCCCAGAGGGATCCCCTTCCCAGCTTCTGTGTCCTCACCTGCTCTCCTCGCCCTCCAGCAGCTTGCGGTAGGTGGCAATCTCGATGTCCAGGGCCAGCTTGATATTCATCAGCTCCTGGTACTCCCGGAGCTGCCGGGCCATGTCCTGCTTAGCTCGTTGCAGGGCAGCCTCCAGCTCTTCCTGCTTGGTGCGTGCATCCTTGAGTGCCAGCTCCCCACGCTCCTCAGCCTCAGCGATGGCAGCCTCCAACTTGGCACGCTGTGGGCGGAAGTGGAGCTGTGAGCTAGAGGGCAGGCCTTACCAGTCACAGCCTTCCTGCCTCCCCATCCTGCAGTCAGCATGTGGGCAACTTGCTTACAGTGGCTTCACTGGCACCAGCCCACTCCCCCAAGCACCACGGAATCCTAAGGGTTTAAGACATGGGTTTTGATATCTAATACCTAGGTTCCAACTCTGGCTCTGCAACTTACAAGCCATGTGATCTTAGAATCAACCCTTCTAAGCCAGTCTCCTCTTTTCTGAAATAGCATCAATCACAGTTTCTACCTCACAGGGATACAGCAAAGTATTAAATGAGATAATATACAAGGCCTCACAGTGTAATTAACATACAGTAAATGTTTAATAAATGCTATTATGATTTACACATGCCCACCACCCTTAACCCCTGGCTGGAGAAGCTCCAAGTCCATGGGATCCTAGTTTAGTCCCCAAATTTCAGGCAGCTGACCGGAACCAAAAGTACCTTCAAAACATGAACCAGTTTGGAACATGCCCAGAACAGGGAGACCTGGAGCATAGAGACACTGCTTGAAACCCTCACACCCCAGATCAATAATTCCCCCGATTTGGACAGGGGCGGTGTGATGCTCAACGGCCTTGCAACGCAGCTGCAGCTTCCTGCCACGCCTTACTATTCCCTCTTGTGGCCCATCCCCAACTAGAAGAGCCTGTCCAGTCCTGGGTGGCCTCTTGTCCAGCTCAGAGGGCCACCATCCCCATCCCCAAGCCCAGCGCTCCTCCTCCTTCCTTCTCATGACTGTCCTCTGCCCTCAGATCCTTTCCTCTCAGCGCATGCACTCTGCCTCGCTGCCAACACCCCCAATCCTCCCCAGGAGGCTGGCTGATGCCCTCTGCCCCCATCCACTGGTCAGTGCCCTTCCCTGTCACACTGGTGCCCCCTTGGCAGGGCCATCCCACTGCCTCTGAGCCCCTTGATGGTGGTAGACTCCCCCAGCTCCAGGGTGTGGCTCTGCCTTGGCATGGGAAGAGGAGAACCAGATGTGACAAGGGATTTTGGAAATGGTCATTTATTATTCTGTGCCTCCCCTCCTGGCCTGGATGCTGGGCTCGCTGCACCGGTGATTCATGGCCCTGCATCTATGCCAGGAGGCAGCCTCTGCCCTCCCCCTCATGTAAACAGGCCTGCAGGAATCCAAGGGGAGGACATTTCTGGGTAGATCACCCCCACCTCCCAGGCTCTGGCTCACCTGAGACTTAGCCCTCTGAAGCTGCTGCACCCATTGGCTTCTCTCCCTCCCCACTGCAGACCCCTGCTCTGGCTTCGCTGCCCTCCCACCCCCATGCCTTGGCCAGGGCTTGGGGGACCCTTCCTCATCAATGTGCCCCACCCCAGCTTCACAGCACATCCTCCCATCAGTCTGTTATCTGAAACCTGTGCCCTGACCATGAGTGAGGTGCTGGGCAGGGAGGAGCAGTGAATCAGACAGAGACAGGGTCCCTGCTCTTAAGGCATTTTGAATATTCCAGTGGAGGTGGGGGACAATACTTGTTTATACTTAATTAATAAGACTTACCTAGTAAGTCAGTAGTCAATAAGACAGAGAATTTCAGAGAGTAATGAGTGTTTCAGGGAACCTCATACAGACTGCTGAGAGAGATCCCTGAGAAGAGGTCTTCCGTCCTAAAGCCCAGGGGGGAGAAGGGGGTAGCCACGTACGGAGCTGGGAGAACCACATTCCAGGTGACAGGAACACCCAGTGCCAAGGCTCTGAAGCATGAAGATGCTTGGCAAATGGAAGATACAAGAAGCAACAAGAGCACAGCGGGAGAGGGAGCGGTGGGGAGTGAGGTCAGTGGATGGGACAGGGCCTTGCGAGCCACAGCGAGGGACTCTGTTTCCTCTGGCCCCCCGCTCCTAGGGACAGCGGATGACACCCAGAGCTAGGTGCATGAAGAGGGCCTAGTATCAGTGTGGTAACAAATGGTGGCTCTGGCCAGCCAGCCTGAGGCTCCCTCCATGGGCTGTAGGCCCAGCTAGGACCCCTATCCTCCCTTCGGTCAAGCCAGGACCTAGCCAGGAACATTCCGTCCTGGGGAGCTCACACATGGGCCAGAGAGACTTGAGCTGCACCAGCCTCTGCCTCCAGGGCGGTAGGGACAGGGCTGACACCCTCGCCCCAGCCTCCGGCTCCTCATCCTGAGCTTGGCCTTAGCTGGCTGCCCTTCACATGCCCCAGGGAGGAGGGCTGGGGCCCACCTGGTTCTTGATGCTGTCGATCTCCGCCTGCAGCCTCTGGACGGCCCGGTTCATCTCCGCAATCTCATTTCGGGTATTCCGAAGTTCATCCCCGTGCTTCCCAGCCTGGGCCTGGAGGGTCTCAAACTGGAGAGGCCACACAGAGAAGGATGGCGGGGGTGGTCATGATTACAGGTGACTCGTCTTCTCCCCACCCAAAGAAAGCCCCAGGTTCTGAGTGACAAGCCCTCCAAGCTTATCTTCCCAGGGAGGGACAGTCTGACTCCTAGCAAGCTTTGCCCGATGCCAGGAGGCCGGACTCTTGGACATTGGGGCGGGGCAGGGCTTCAGTCTCCTCCCAGCCATGACAAGGACAAGGATGACTCCCCGGGCCCATCCCCATTGATCCCGGGGCTCTTCCCATGCCCATGATGTCCCAGTGCTGGAGAGTCACTGGATGTCTCAGATCCTCACCCGTTCACCCCTTGATCAGCACCACCCATTTCACAGATGAGGAGAATGAGTCCCAGAGAAGGGAAAGGACTGCCTGCAGGTCACACAGAAAGTCTAAACCTGGGTATCCTTACTGGCATACCTGTGTTCTCACATGGATGACTTCCTATCTCTGCAGAGACATTCCTTTGTGCTGCTTTTAAACCCTCAGGCTTCCTCCCCCGGGACACTGGTTTACCCCAGCACCCCGCTGCCCATTCCCTCAGCACCTGCACCATCAGCTGCCCTGCTCCCATATGGTGCATGTAATGATTAAACCTGCCTGGTCCAGAGTCCTTGGACCCAGGATTCAGTCCCTGCTCCTCCATTCACTAGCTGTGTGGAGTTAGACAAATAACTTAACCCCTAGGTGCTTCAGTTTCCTCATCTGTAAAAGGGGGCTAATAACAGTGCCCACCTAATAGGGCTGTTCTGTGGGTTAAATGAGTCAGTGTCGGTAAAATATCTGAAACACTGCCTAGCACTGTGCACACTTGCCAAATTTTAGTTACAGTAATTATTAATCCATGTGCATTTCCTCTGCCCTGCCCTACCCCATCAGGCTGGACTCTCCCTGGGCAGGGACCTGGACTTCGCCTCCTCTTCTTCCCAGGACACTGGAGACCACCACAGACTTAACCCTTGGTGCATGTCAGCACAGTGGGACCCAGGCCCTGAAGGCTTGGGACTGAGTGAGGAGTAAGGGAAGCCACCACCGAGGACCCTGCCAGGAAGAGGAAATATTCCTCCAGTGGCGGCACACCTTGGTCTGGTACATGGCCTCAGCCTCCGCCCGGCTGCGGTTGGCGATCTCCTCATACTGGGCCTTGACCTCAGCAATGATGCCATCCAGGTCCAGGGAGCGGCTGTTGTCCATGGACAGGACCACAGACGTGTCTGAGATCTCAGACTGCAGCTCTTTGAACTCCTATAGGGACAGAACAGAATGTCAGGACCTGGGGCATAACTCATTCCTGTTCCCACCCTGGGATCTTTCCACTCTGGGACCCCCCTTCTCATCCTAGGATCTTCCCCATACACTAGAGCAAGAAAAAGGGAGATGAGGCCAGAGTGCGAGGGAGTACCCAGGCAGCAAGGGGCACAGCCCCGGCACCTGCTAAATGGCTCCGCCCAGCCCTGGCTCCCGGAAGAGCCCGTTAGCAACTTCCCAAATAAGAGTCTGGCAGGACCACAGCAGACAAACAAGTGAGAGAGTGTGGTCAACTGTGGTGGCTCCTGGCTGTGAGGTCTCTTGTGAGGGGATCGATCATGAGTGGTGGGTAAAATGTCATATTCCACCTTATAATGGAACCCTCTGCAGCCTTTAAAACTGATGATACAGCTGTATTTACAGACAAGGAAATAAATGCATGATATATCATCACATGAAAAAACAACTGATTCTGTTTCATTACAATATATATTTCTGTGTCTCAGTGTAAACATGCACAGAAAAAGGCTGAAAAGGTAGACACCAAAATGATAAGAGTAGGTATAGGAGGCCTGTTTTCTATTTTCTGCTTTACTTAATGTTCTGGATTTTTTGCAATGAGTATATATTTCTCTTATCAAAGGAAAAGAATTGCATATACATGTATTTAATACACACACCCACACACACACGTATATAACATATGAAGACTTGCACTGAGACGAGAAGAACCCAAAGTCAGACTCAAGGATCCAGCCCCTGAAATTAACACATGTGGAAATTCTCTCGGAAGGGCTAATGGAGGCAGGATGCTCAGGCCAAGACTCAACTGAAGAGAAATGAGAACTAGTCTGTGATCAGCCTCAAGTGTAATTATGTCCCAGATCAACCAGATGATCGGCCACCCTCTCTTCTGCACAAGGCCAGAGACGCACACTGATGGGAAAGAAGAGGTTTTTAAATCCACATGAGGGAAAGGAGCTGGAAGCCGAGGGCAAGGCAAGGCTGAGCAGCAGAGGAGATGGGAGGGGTGGACAGACAGAGTGGCTGAGGGGGTGGCGTAAACCCTCAGGCACTCCAGTTTCTCCTGACTCAGGCTCCCCTGCCAACCCACCCAGCCACTTGGTTCCTTTCAGCCCCTCCCAATCCCCCTCCCTGGCAAATGGTCATCCCACGTCTCTAGAAGGCCAGTTTTGACTGACTCCACTCTTCTGTGCTGCCCCAGCTTCTCCTGAACTCCTTGCCCACTATAGATTCCTGCATCCAGAAAGATTAAAGAGTAGAGTAAACTCCCCAACACATACCCAGACTGGCCCAGAGGCAAGTGGTGGACCAGATGGCTCCCTGGTTAGGAAATGTAGGACCTAGCATCTCTCCCACCCCTGAGGTCCTCACCTCCTCATAGAGAGTCCTGAGGAAGTTGATCTCGTCATTCAAGGCATCCACCTTGGCCTCCAATTCCACCTTGTTCATGTAGGCAACGTCTACATCCTGGGAGGGGTGGTGGTGAGAAGAGGTAGAGTGTCACCATGTTCTCGGTACACGAATCATTTATCAGGGGCGGGAGCAAGCAAGCATCATCCAGCCCCGACCACTGCCCTACCAAGGAACACACAGCTCCTCCAGGCTGCGGGACGTGCCCACGGCAGGAAGCTCCCTCCATTGGAAGCCTCAGGCTGCGAGATAGGTACCATCTCCACGCATCCCTGGGACTGAGGTGCCTTCTCAGCCCTGATAGTCCCAAACCTAGCACTTCACCAGTTCCTAAAGGCTTTGATGGTTTACACACCCGCCTGGCTCTGCCACCTACGAGCTACATGAACTTGAACAAATGACTTCAACTTTATGAGCTTCAAATTCTCACCAAATGGGAGATCATGAAATCATTCAGACTCGAGGACATTGCTCCCAGAGATGGAAAATCTCCAGCCTAAATATGGAGCTTGCTGCTTGGGTGACACTGAGGCAGGCCGGCCACAGGTAACACCTCAGGTCCAGGTGACACCTAGGCCCCTGCTAGTCATCCTTCCCCGTGGTTAAACTCCTGGGAGGAGGGCTCCACTCATCCCTGAATCTCCAAGGACCCAGCACTCTGGGGAAGATTACATTTCTGTGTGTGGGCTTGGAACACAGAGTGAGTGTGCTTTGAATCAGCATCTTAAGTCAAGCCTCTCTCAGATATTCCTTAGGCCTTCCAACCTCAGCTTGCACACCTCCAGGGATAGGGAACTCACTCTGCCTCAGGGCGGCCCACCCTATTCATTCAGCAAATATTGCAGGCCCACCACACGCCATGCTTACTTTCAATTAAATGTTCTGACCATGATAGAACATTCCCTTATTCGGGGTTGAAATTGCCCTTTCTCATTTCCATCCTGTAATCTTAATTCTAACCCCTCCAAGCCCAGAAACAAGTCTAGTGACTTGCCAGACACACAAACACACACACACACACACACACACACACACACACACACACAAATACACACACAGATATGCACACACGCACACACACACGGACACACATACACGCACGCGAGGCAGGCTGGACTAGAAGGACCTGGCTCCCAGATCTGTCGTTCTCCAAGCCCATCACTCCCTTCTTGTAGACCCCAGCCAGATCTCGACCACAGGACCCTACTGGCTGCTCAGGCGAGAGGCCTGTGGTCCCTTGTCCCATGTGTTTTCAAACAATGCCCCCCCATCCTACCTGTCTACCCCGCTTACCTTCTTCAACACCACGAACTCATTCTCGGCAGCCGTGCGACGGTTAATTTCATCTTCGTACCTGCAGTGAAGGAGGGCAGTGTGATGCGGATGCAGTTTTGCCTCCATCCACCCCCCATATCCAGGTGTGAACATCTGCCCTGCCTCGCCCTCATCCCCTTCTTAGTGACACATCTGAGAAAACAGGCGTCAGCTGTGAAACAAAATGTCCCTGACTTTTCCATATGGCTGTTTCTAGGGTTCTGAGTCTTAGCAAGGGATGAGGGTGGGGGAGCAGAGAACATATGCAAATTAAAGGAAAAGGCTGCATATACTGGCAGTGAGAAGGCAAATAATAATCATGCTTAGGGACCACTTCATACAGAGCCCGCACTGTTACGTGTTACCCATGCATTCACTCATTTAATCCCCACAACAGTACTATAACATTGATGCCATGCTCAGCAGGGAAAGGAACAGAGGCACAGTGGGGCAGCGTACTCTGCCTAGTCACTAAGCTGCTAAGCCCAGACTTGAAGCCCAGAAGTCTGACTCCTGAGCCCACATCTTAACCACTACTAAATCCCACTCCCTGAGGGTGAAGAAGGGGCCTGAAGGAGCAACCTTGTGGATTCAGGAAGGGGGAAGAATCAGGCCCCAACTAGGTGGCCAAGCCTCCAGCCCCACTCCCACAGCCGCACCCCCCATCCCTCTTCCTCCCAAGGAGCCAGCCTGCCCATAGGAGGACTTTGGCAAAGCAAGGAATAGAGCAAGAGAGCAGTGGGCCTGACCCAGGATTTATTTAATGACTCAAAAAAGGTGTCTGGAACAGGAACTCAGCAGTGCCCACGAGCTGCTAAAGTAGTAGCAGGCACAACGTGGGGCAACCACGGTAGGGAGCAGGATGCTCGGGCAGGCAGAGGCCCTCTAGGAGCCCAGATTCCCAAAGTCCCACTCCCCCACGTCCTCTAGAACAGCTGTGAAAACATCCGCGAGGCCGTCTGTCCTGCCTGGGCGCCTTGCCGCTGGGCCCAGAGGTGTGCAGAGAGGAGCTCCCCAGTAGCTGCACTCAGGACCCTTCCCTGCATCCCCTTCCAGGTCCTCCTTCAGCCTGAGCCTGGAGCTCAGCCTGGCCTCCCAGGAAAGCACTCTGTGTGGGGGGAGTTGTATGTACACACGCGCGCGCACACATGCACACCTACGCATGCACACCTGACAGCAGGGGCTCACCGGTTGCCCCAGGACTTCCCAGCCCTGCACCTGTCTGGTTCCACCTGCCGCAGGATTAATCCTGTTGACTGTTGCCCTAGGGAAGTCCAGGGGGAGGGGGAGGCACTCCCTGCAGAGGCCTTTGTTTGTTCTACCTCCAGGCAGAGCCAGTGTCCCTACTCAGGCTTAGTCATACATCCCCGGGCAGAGCACAGAGCTCACTCATTCCCCCAGAGTGCCCACTGGGCAGGGATGCCCAGCCAAGTCTCAGGCTTTGGTGTTTGTTCAATGAGAACAGGCACCCCAAAGGTCTGTCCTCAAAACCCAGTGTTCCCAGCCTCTGCACTCCCTGCCCCTCCTCACAGCCTCCTTGCTGGTTCCTGCCCAGGCCAGACCCACCCCCACAGCCATGGCTCACAGTAATCATTCTCTCTGCTTCTTTCCATCCCAAGTTGGCTCCAAGTCTCCTCCTGGGAGTCAGAGGCCACAAAACAAGCCCCAGCCCTCCCGGTGATCTGCTAACGTGAGCTCGATCAAGCCCCTGAAACTCTGGACTCCCATTCCTCACCAGAACAAAATGGAGCTGTTCTAGAATAATCTAAGAGTTGTGCCCATCTGTCATAGGACACCTTCTGCCCTGCCCTCTCCTGGGCCTTGGTCAGGCACCCAAAGGAAAGTGCCGATCGGGCCGGGCTGAGATATTTTCACTGGGAGTAAAAAAGTCGGGAGAAAGACCAGAAGGACTTGAAAATAGCCCCCAGGAACAGAGAGAGAGGAGAGGCAGGAAGGTGTTAGTCAAGCTCTTCCCTAGTCAAGATCTTCCCTTTAGGAGACCCAGCAGCTGCCACCCTCTGACCCCCGACCCAGAGAGGATTTGCAGAGGGTCAGCTGAGAGGGGCACATTGGCCCAGGGCATAGATGTCGCAGGTCGCACTGGGGGGCAGTACTTATTCTTGAAGTCTTCCACAACGTCCTGCGTGTTCCGAAGCTCCACCTCCAGGCGGCCCCCATCCAGCTGCAGTGTCTCAAGCTGCTTCCGCAGGCCGGCAATGTGGGCCTCAAAGATGCCTGGGAGGCGGCTGCTCTTGGTTGACTTCTGCCCCTGCAGCAGCGCCCACTTGGTCTCCAGCAGTTTGTTCTGCTGCTCCAGGAAGCGCACCTGGAAGGGGCAGGGAGGAGACAACTCCTGAGGGGCAGACCTCACCACCCGCAGCGGGGTTTGGAGGGTCTCCAGCCTCCCAGGAGAGTCCACGCTCCCACTGGCTCTTCCCCCAACCTGTGCCCCCAGCCATCGACCTCCTCCTCCAGGAAGCCCATTCTGAACAGGCCTCTCATTCAGGACTCTCTGTCTCAAGTGTCTCCGAGTGTGTCCAGGGCTTAGGTCGACCTGGTCATTGACGTGTCCCCACGCTTGTTCTTTAGGGTCTCCTCCCTCCTCTGCTCCCCATCACATCACAGGTGATGGTCTCCATCTCCCCATCTGAAGGGCTGCCCCCTTCCTGTCTGCATCCTGAGCCTGACTCGGCCCCTCTCCCTTCAGGCAGGGACCTCATCTCTTCCTCTCTAAATATCTCCCCTTCCCTCTTTCTCCAACAAAGCCTCAGGACAGGATGCTTTAATCAAGTAATGTAAATGAGTCCTGGTTATGTGCCCCTAACCACCCAGGAGCACCCAGTATGAGTGGTAGTGGGAAGCAAGTCTCCTCAAAACCAGCAACTCAGGCAGCAGGCCCCAGGGCTGCAGTTCAGCAGCAGGGGAGGAAGCCGGGGCTTCCTGCAGAGGCTGCAGCAGAATCTGAAGGATGTGTACGGTCTGAGGGGTAAAAGACAGGAGGATACGGGGGTCCAGGGAAGCAGAGGGGTAAACAAAGGCAGGAGAGCGAAAGCCTGCTCTATGCCCAAGAAGGAGGCCCTGGACAGGGGGGCCCAGTGGGGCTAGCCCTTAGTTCTTGGGTCCAGCTCCACCAGTCTGTCCCCCTAAGCTCCATCCCTCACCCCTTTGGGACCTAAATAATAAGGGAAAACATCTCTTAAATGACCCTTCCCCGGGATCCCCTCAGTGCCCCCAGATGAGATCTCCAAGAGCAGGTATAATCTCACTTCCTACCACCAAAAGGAGGCTGGAGGACCAGATAGGTGGGGCAGATGAGTCTGGGAGCCTCCCTCCTTCCAGCTCTTTATTTCCAGCATCTGCTAGGTAGTAGCTTGTGGGGTGGAGAGCATCTCTGACTCCACAGCCCCTCTCTAGAGAGGGGAGCCCAAATAAGAAGTCCTGGCCCTGGCATCTGGAGAGCCCAACTTGACTCAAATTACAAAAACGGCCCAAGAACCCCAGCTGGAGACACAGCTCACCAGGGCAGCTGGGCAGACCCAGACACACATTCCGGGAAGAAAAAGCAGGGCGATTTGGGCAGCTTGCTAGAAGAGAGGGATTGGAGACTTAGGGGAACCAAATAGCCATAGGGTTCTTGGGGAGGTTATGGTCCCTGATACCGGCGTAAAGAGAGCCGGCACCAGCGCTGCCAGGGCCTGGCCCACGTGCAGCATGGCGGGGCGGCTGCTGGGGCCTGGGGCCTGGAGCCCGGAGCCTGTCTCCAGGCAGTGCCGGCCAGCTCACCTTGTCGATGAAGGAGGCGAACTTGTTGTTGAGGGTCTTGATCTGCTCGCGCTCCTCCTGGCGCACCTGCTGGATGGAGGGGTCGATGTCCACCTGCAGCGGGGTCAGCAGGCTCTGATTGATGGTGACCTCGCGGATGCCGGCGCCCACGGGGCCCCCGTAGGATGAGCGCACGGCCACGCGCGGCCGCGAGGCGCCCAGGCCGTAGAGGCTGCTGCTGCTGCTACCGAAGCCGCCGGGGCGCACTGAGCTCAGGCGCACCTGGGTGCTGCGCCCCGGGAAGGCGGC